ATACATTTGTAGCGTTGTTAGCTAACACTAAAACGGCAAGTCGCTGTAAAGATGCGATCAGCTGAGATGCTAGAGATGGGCATGTGTCGGATGCTCTATGTGCTAGAGCATCAAAACTATCGATAGTTGAATCCGTCGATACAATCAATAACTCAATCGAAGTTTGAATGCAATTAACAGAAAATTAAAATAATAATAATAATTATAATTTATTGAGAACAAATCATATACAAACATACATATGTACATCTGCCCGCAACGCGGTTTCTGCTTTACTATCGCTTACGCAGTCGTTGCCTAGCGACGGTAACTGTAAACTTTTGACATATTGCCTTTGAAATTAACAGGCGTAAATGGTCAATCAATGACTTGAAGTTGTTGTTGTTTTTCGTTTTAAAAATTTGATTTAAAACCATAGAACATTATTTATTACAATCAAACAACAGTGCTCGATTGTCCAGTGTATGCATACATACGAATGTACATACATGCTATATATGTACGTACACAGGCATACATATGTACATATGCATGCATGTTTCACTTCACTTTTTCATACATAGACACGAACTGTTGCTTGTTCTGTGTGTGAGTGATGATGTCCCCAACTATTTGATATTTGCGTTCTTTGTAATTTGTTGTTGCTGCATAAAGTTACTAATGAAAACCCTAATGCCAAATGTACTAAGCAAAGAAAAAATTACTTTTAAAAATGTTAAATTATTATTAATTAACATTTCTTGCTCTGTCAGTGCAAGACGAATGAACATACATACATACATAGATGTGTACATATTTATGTGTGTACATTCATACATTAGTGTCTCACATTTTGCTTTGGCTATTGCAATCGTTTGCACGCAACTACACGAACAGCTGTTTGTATGTGTGTGTGTGTGTGTGTGTGTGTGTGTGTGTGTGTGTGTGTGTGTTGTGTATACTTAGTTGTCCCCAACTGTTTGATATTTTGTATTGTTTGTTCTGCCTGCATTTGTAGAATGCATATTTTGAAAATCCTTGAACGTAAAGTTGTAGATTTAGTTACGTAGATTACAGTCCCCAAATTTGGAAAAAATTTATAACACAAACATTTCATTTGAAAAGGTGAATAAATATTAAAACCCCAATAATTCAAGCTCCACCACAAATTTCGAAAATCCGAGTATGCACTTTCGTTTGTATTCTTTTATACTTGTATCATCAAATTTAAAGTTGATTGGTGGAAAACTGAAGATTTTTCAAACAAACTTTGGAGCTCGTTTTCTCCCCTTTGGAGCTCAAATTTTCCAAAATTCCTTCTTAGTGCGCACCTACACTATGATAGGATACTTGACCCCAAATTACAGCTTTCTAGCTCTTGCCGTTTGGGCTGTGCGTTGATCGCCAATCAGTCAGTCAGTCAGTCAGGACAAACTGTTTTATATATATAGATAATTTAAGTACGTTATTAAGATTGTCATTAATACTTATAGTTATATTCTAATAATAATGATGATTCACACACATTTTTTGTAAGAAGTTTTAAGTCCACATATTATATGCTTACCTAAATAATACACGAACAATATACGCATAACTATTCGCATTCGTATTTCGTCCTCTTTAAGCCAGGGATTAAAATCATTACAAGTGTTTTTACAAAAATTACAAAATAATGATTAATTTTGAGGTTTACTTTTTAACTTCTGCGATAATCATTATTTTTGAGCAAACAAAAAAATAAAACTCTTAAATGTTTACCCACATTTGAATCTTCTGAAGAAAATTCAATCAGATTCTTTTTTTCTTTGCTGCTAGCGTAATATACGAGTAAGCCAATCATACAATATTAGCGCCTCTTGCAAGTGAATTCTAAGTATGCCAATCAGTTGTTTCGCCACAAGCAGTTAACTATATTTTTAATATAATTTTGATACAACTTTGGCTTACCGTGCAATTTAGATGCTGTCCACGACTGAAACTCCACTTGAGCTACTTTGTTGCAAACTTTAACTCTCATTTAAGATTACATGCTCGTAAAAACGCTGTTAAAAACACCTGAAAGGAAAATTCGTTGACAAATGGCCCAAGTAAGCCGGGCGACTCCAAAAAATCTAAAAAGAATTTCTCCAAATACTTGATTCAAGTCTTCTGAAAGGAACAATATCTGTTATTCAAATTCCCTGGCTCTTACTATATTTGTCTTCGTTGCTAACGATTCAATAGGCACGATAAGAAATGGCTCTGGACAGACCGCACTAGACCTGTTTTAAGACAATGATGTATTGAAAGAGTAAAGCGCCTGAAGGAAATATTCGAGTCGATCATGGACGAGTCACCAGCATTACACATCCTTCTGAAATAAACAATAATCCAATATAACACCAATCGACTCTTCAGCATCATCAATAATAAACACCAAATACCTGATTTTCAGGCACCTAAAAAGTATTAACAAATCACCTTTAAACTGTTGTTAACAGACTGAACCAGATATTAAATTTGTTTTATAAGACATATATGGTGTTTTAACTGAGCAGCATCACGAGTACAACATTTTGTTATTCCTATAGTGTTCATTGATCCTTGCAAATCATTTTAGCGGGGCACATTCCACTTCCTTACGTCTTCCAATTCGGAGTCAATGCTGACCAAACACTGTCTGTCGTAAGTGAACTAATTGAGCTGATGAAGCTCATTACATGTCCCTTTTTGTCCTTTGAGAAAATGAAAAGGTCTAGAATGCAATGCAAGTTAGCAAAGATATTGCTGTGATGGAAGCCGCACTCCATATTAGATTATGAACGCACTTAATGCACGGCCCTATTGATGATGTCCGTGCAAAAGCAAAACAATATCTGCAACAATATTAGTTATAGTTGAATGCTGTGAAGGTGAATGAGAAAGAAGCCAAGCACCACCGCACTGTAGTTCATATTCCCAAAAACAATGGTGCTGTAAAGCTAAGTAGATGGATGAATAAAATGGTACCAGAAATATATGCTGTAGCTGAAGAGACGGCTATTCGATTATATTATCATCATCAAATTCAAAAGCCTCACACTTTATATATATATATATATATATATATATATATATATGTGCGGATGTATATTTTGAGGACCCTAAAATTTTGGGGTTTTGACCACAGCGTCACATCATGCACGCCCCAAAAATTGCGTGCTCCAACGCTTGAAGGTTTTGGAGCTTTCAGACATTATCTATGGCCATCTATATACTATAAGTTTATTTTGAGGACACATTACCAAACACATGTTTTCAGGACACCGTCCTCGAAATATTAGAATTATAAAGTACGAAATATATGTATATAAAATATTTTTTATATAAAGTATATATCGGGGACAGTGGTGTAGAGTTGCAACCTCATAAACAGTTCTTATATCCAACGTATAATTTTGGGGACAGCCGAATATTGGAAATGAAAGGTCCCTTACATTGAGTCTGGATATATATATATTGAAATATAATAAAGTTTGAATTTCAACGGTTATATATATTTCTTTATTCTCACCGTATATTTTGAGGACTGTTGAATATTGGAATTGTAAGGTCCCTTAAAGAGAGTCTGGATAATTATATATACTGATATTAAGTTAAGTTTGAATATCAACGGTTTTATATATTAACTATGCCCAGCGTATATTTTGAGGACACAGGAATATTGGAACTGAAATGTCCCCCAAATTATGCCTGGGTATATACATATATTCATTAATATAAAATCAAGTTTGAATTTTAACGGTTACATACATTTCATTATACTCAATATATACAAGTATATTGGAAATGAAATATGTCCCCTAAATGTATACATATATATGTATGTATATGTATATTGAAATAAAACCAGGTTTGAATTTTAATGATTATATATTCATTATGCTTAACGTATATTTTTCGGAGCCTAGAATAATAATATGAAACGAACCTTAAATGATATACTTATACTCTCGAGTTTAATATATACCTTTAGGACATAGAAAATAATTAAATAAAATTTTCTTGATATATGTATGTATTTAGCTAATTCAATGGGATTGATGGATTTGAATTTTAACGTTTGATTTCAACATGCTCGGTGTACTTTATAAGGACATCACTCAATAAAAAAAAGGTCCTTAAAATTTAAATGGAACTTAAGCAATTATTTTTATGGTTTTATATGTTTATTAGTCCTTCAAATTTATAAATATTTTGAAGCTACCCTTATGACAACAATATGTTTCTGAAATCATGTATGGATATATTTGAAAATAATTAAGTGATTATCCCCAACATAAGCCAAATTTTTAAACAATTTTTTCAAATTGTTTTGTTGTGCATTTGTGAAAATGTAATATATTTGAACACAAAACTTGGAATACATGACAAAGTAATTGATTAATTAATGAGGATCCAGCAGGAGTCTTAGTTCTTTGTTTGTACTCTAAAAATGTAATTTCTTAATAAGCTTATAAAATAAAGAAAAACTTTTCATTCATTTTGGTTTGCTTAACATCTAAAAGTATCAATCAAAATTTGGTAGCATTTTCGTAATGCAATTCATTTTTATAAAATTATATAAAATTCTCATTCATTTTTGTTTGTTAAGCATCTATAAGTATCAAACTTTAAAGTGTACAAAAATTTTGTAGTAGCATTTCCGTAATGCAATTATTTTCATAAAATTTTTATTTAAACATCTAAAAGTATCAAGTTTTATAGTGCAAACAAATTTGTATAGTACCATTACCGTAATGCAATTCTTTTTTATAAAATTATTAATATTGTTTTTTTTTATCGGAGACTTCCGTTGACAATTAACGGTTGATTGTTTACTGAAGGCTCCAGTAAGAAAAAAATATTAATAATTTTATAAAAAAGAATTACATTACGGTAATGCTACTAGTTTAAACTCTAAAAAAATGATTTTCTTTCATAAACTTTTAAAATAAAGAATACATTTTCATTCATTTTTGTTTGTTAAACATATAAAAGTATCAAGTTATAAAGTGTAAACTAATTTTTGTTTTAGCATTTCCGTAATGCAATTCTTTTTATAAAATTATTTTGATTTTTTTCTTGACTCAGCCTTTCGCTGATTGTCAATCCATGACTTAAGCTGTGCTGGAGTACGACGCTTTAAATATTGAGATGCAGCAATAACCCTATTGCACTCTGCCAAACTAGGTAATCTTTTCAACGATTTGAAATTGCCGAAAGCCTCTTCCATCTCTTTTCGCTCAGGTGGCGACCAACGAATGCGTTGTGTCTTTCCAAAAGGAGATGCTATATACAAAATTAAATCAGATTAGTAAAATTAATAATAAAAATACAATTCATGCATTCAAAATTTGGTTTATATTTGTATAATGTTATAGTTTTTTGTTCTTACTACTGCGGCGTTTTCGATTTGGCTGCGACTCAACTATTTCCTCTTTTGACTTTTCAGACTCATTTTCGTCGATGTATTCGGATCCAGAATCCTCAAAAGGTTCAGCTGTAAAATTGAATTCAATTTTTTTTTTTTTAAGTATGGTTCATATATGACTTATAGTATATCTTTCAGGGCCCGGAGATGAAACTGTAAAGGAGTCTCAGGTCTTTTCGACGAATAATGAAAATCAATGGCCAAGAGCTTGATCGGGTCCCTAAGTGATATACTATATATAACATACATGTACCCAGTCACACACATACACAATTCAATTATCTAAAAATTTCAATATTGTACCTTCATTTTCGATGTCTTGTGCACAATTATCTTTCTCATAAAGTTCACCTGCTAAAAAAAAAAAAATTTTTAATTCAATTAGGATTTTATTTTATTCGCCTAATGAGAATATGTAAGTTAGAGTAATATATGTGACGTATTGTGCCTAATTTTGCTAGACATAGAAACTTACCGGGCTTTGGGTTCTTATTATTCCGTTCGGGGCTATTCCCAATGGCTGCCATTAACATTTGGGACACTTCTGTAATTTCCGCAATTGTAGCGGGGACACGGTAAATATTTTTATGTATTTCTTTATGATGGCCCATAAAATTCGCGAGTCGGTCTATCTGAATATCTTCAACATTTAGCATAGAAGTGTATGTTGCTAAATGTTTGCGAAGCATTGTGCCCCTCAAGGCTTCTGGGCAGCTGGCACCACATTCATAAGCAAATTGTTTTAAAATTGGGCAAGCACGAATGTACTCTTTCCCAAGTGATTTCGGGCTTGCAACGCTGAATATGTAACAATTTTTTTCATCGACACCAGCTTCGCTGCGGTGTTTGAGGATCATATCGATACAAAAACAATCAAAGGGAGTAAGAAGTACTGACACTGTTCTATTTAATTTTCCTCGAAGAGTCAACCTTTTGTATTGCATTGCAATTTGTTTCGTTTTAGCTGTCAGTTTATTTAGAACATCTTTGTCTATATTTTCTTCCATTGCATGAGCGGTGTTATAATTTTCAATGCTCAATCGTTCTATTTCTCCAGCCCGACGACGGTTAAATATTTGGAGACTTATTAATGTGCTTCGTATCAAACTATTCCACGCTTCAAAATCGAATTTCTTATTCAAAACATTCAGCGCATCGGCGGATTTTTTGTTAACAAAATCAAAGAGTTTTTTAATATCCTCTTTCAAAGGTAAAATTGTTTTTACAGCTCGACGTTTTTTGGCTTGGTCCTCGATTGCTTTTTTGTTTATGTTTACAGGTATTTCGGTTTCCCATAAGACAATAAAATCATTTACTAATTTTTTATTTATCTCATCTTGATTTATTATACATTGTGTCAATAATATTTTTGCACATTTTTTTATCAATGAGCTTAGACTTGTAGCAACCGATGGGGTTTTAAAAAGCAAAAGTTCGTTATCCCACTGGGAAACAGTTCGAATGCTAGACATCATAAGTTCATGATGTTTGGGATGAATGGCATCCTTTAACTCCTTTATTTGGCCTTGCGACTGTTGTTTTAATTCTATTACCAATCTACTTAATACTCTTAAATGAGACCGAATCATATCATGTTGTAATGCATTATACTTCATGCATTCTGCATTTCCCAATAATACGATCAAATGGTCATATAATAAATTTCTCGTTATATCATCGTCATTTAAAACTGGAACAACTTTTCGACGCAATATGTCATTTGCAGCTTTATGCATATAGCCAGTTTTGCTGCGTCCATCCCTTAACATGTTTTTCGAACCATTAGGATGAAAAACACGGCAGTTGCGAATATGGCAACGAATTGTCGATTTCCGAAAGAAGCCAAGACAACCTTTACAACTTATTAAATCATGTGGACCATTACGAGAATTAATTCGGTTTTGGCGAGGTGCTATTATAATACCTTCGTTATAGATTTGATCTGTGTTGTGGATAAAATCTCCCTTTTTCCGAATAGAATCAATTAGAATTTTTCGATTGGGATCGTTAGCTGAAAGAACCATAAATTTCTTAACATCTGGTTCATTCATATGAACGTTTTGTAAGTGTCGAGCAAATTTTGTTTGCAATTTTTTGCAGAACATACAAAAGTGTCTTTTGCTCTTTGTTTGTGTTTTTGCTGTAGGTATTTCAACATCTCTAAGATCAAAAAGAGGTACTTGAGCTTCATATGAAAATGACTCGTTTATTGTTAATGATGAGTTGATGCCATCGTATGTTGCAGATTCTGGCCAATTAAGTCCGAGTGATTCCAAAGTGTCGGTATAGCCACTAACTGCTTTTGAACTAATTTCTGAATGTTCTGTAGAATCTATTAAAAATGATTATTAAGCTTTCTAAATTAACATTTTAAAATTAACGTATCTTATAAAACTATAAAAAAAACAGGCTATAAACACTCTGTTCACTTATTACGAAAGAAATATTTCGTAGACGCACGGGGTATTTTATGGATTAGTGACATTTTTATACTCTATACATAAAATGAAAAAAGCGAATACTTATTAGGTTTGTGCAAAGTGAAAATGTAACATGCAGAAGATGACAGACCCTACAAATATATATTATTGATGATCAGCGTGACGAGATTAGTCCATTGAGTCATGTCTGCCCGTCCAAATGAACAACTGGATCTCACCTACTCCCCCCCCCCCCCCCCCTCCACCATTACGCTACTATTAAGGATTTTCCGTGATGCCGTTTATATACAAATCTAGAACTGAAATAGTACAAGAGCTACATAACACCAAATTTTAAACATAGATGCCCTATGTGAGTACGCTGCAGTATGGATTTCGAACTTAAATTTAATAATTAAAGGCGGTAAACTCAACTTTAACTTTTTCACTTATTATATTTAGTTTTTCACAGATTTTCTTGCAATTTTTAACAGTTTTAACTATTTGTAACTTATATTTATGATTTATCTATTAACTTACTCAGAATGGGGTCGAAGCCATCTGCTCCAATCGCCTCTAAAAGTGGAAAAATTTAATTAAAAATTAGTAACACAGTCGACTTTATAATAATCGAAATATCTTACCAAAATCTTTTTGAATGTTTTCTTTGTTAACGCCACCATCAGAGGTTTGGCCCACTGAAATTTAAATTCCCTTTAGTACTGCCAATTTTCTTGAAATATTTTCTTACAGCAATATTACTCAAGTAATTTACTTACCTAATTCTTTATAAAGTTCCACTTCATTATTATTTACTTCACTGCTGTAAGACAATTTTTGTTTAACTAAAATAGGAGATATATAAATTAAAATATTAGTATTACATCTAACTTTATTTAAAATAATCAAGATACCTTACCAGAATCTTTTTGAATGTTTTCTTTGTTAACGCCACCATCAGAGGTTTGGCCCTCTGAAATTTAAATTCCCTTTAGTACTGCCAATTTTCTTGAAATATTTGCTTACAGCAATATTACTCAAGTAATTTACTTACCTAATTCTTTATAAAGTTCCACTTCATTATTATTTACTTCACTGCTGTAAGACAATTTTTGTTTAACTAAAATAGGAGATATATAAATTAAAATATTAGTATTACATCTAACTTTATTTATAATAATCAAGATACCTTACCAGAATCTTTTTGAATGTTTTCTTTGTTAACGCCACCATCAGAGGTTTTGCTCTTGGCCTCTAAAATGGAAAAATTTAATTAAAAATTAGTTTTTGTTTGCCACTCTTTTATATCGGTGAAAAAAATTTTATACTTACTGTATAACGCCTCATTCATCTTTTTGCATAGGCCTTCGAGAAGTTCTTTTGATTCTACATAAACGTAAATATGTACATACGAATGTATATAAGTATGTGTGCATGTTAGTATGATCAAATTTACGATGCAACTTACCACTGGAATTAATAATTTCTGCTTCAAAAGTAGCTCCATTTATTTTTGTTAAACAAATGTTTTTTGATATTATTTTACATTTCTTTTTCTCAAAAACGTACAACTTTCCGCACTTTATTAAGTAAAACATTTTTAGTTCCGAAGAAGGTAACACAACCGATTTTTATGACGTTCACTTGCTTACTGATCATCAAACAATGCAGAGAAGGCAGAGCTGACAATTCTAACGGTTCTTTTATTCTTTACTATTCATTCAAGGCCATTCCAGTGCAGTGCACACTGGTACGAATGTACAGTATGTCAACAAATTGTTTGCAATAGATATATTGTATAATATAAAGGAGACTTGCATCTTTTTTAATTTGCTAATTACATTTTAAGATAATATAATTTAAGATTGATTCAAATAAAAAACTTACTTATTTGTTCAATGCCATTAGCATTTTTGGCAACAATTATTGTCATCAATGATAAGAATAATCATTTGCACGAATAATTATAATTGTAAAAGTTTATTCACGAGTAATTTATACGCATATTAATATTAAAACAAGGAAGAACGCTACAGTCGAGCAAGGCCGACAGTAAAATACCCTGTTCCCAGACTAAGTTCCGGCACCAAGTTATACATACACATGTATGTATGTGTCCAGATGTGGGCGAAGTACTGTAGTGAATTTGTTTCTCTAACAACTTTTCTTTCGTATAATAATTATAGAATTTTAACGAAATTGTAATATTATAAAAGAAAAATTTTGATGGATTATAACTGAGCATTTACATAGTAATTGTGTTTTTGTGATTCTATGCGTGTATGTATGTACATATGTGTCAGCATCAAAAAAATTATAAAATACATATGTACATATGTCTGTATGAACTCAAAGATCTCAGAAAGTATAAGTCTTAGAATAACCGAAGAGAAAGTACGAGTTTGAGTTTTTTTTCCGACAATATATTGTTATCGAAAATTCTTCAAAACACTTAAAAATTTGTTTACTTTTTAATAAATATCCTCTGAGAAATATCCACTGTGTCGCCAAAGAAAGAGAAGGCAACCAAAGCATGTGTCGCGCGCAGTTGGGTATTCATATATGTATTTCAGCTCTACTTTTAACGTTCTTTCTCTAACGTTAGGCTTCTAGCACTGATTTAGCGTGGCCTTGGCATTTTTTATTTGGCGGAAGAAATAAAACAAGTGGAATAGGGGCTGTCCCTACATTAAAATACTCTGTACATGTGTGTAGAATATTTATAGAAATTAAAAAAAAAAAAAACAAGAAAGGAATGCTAAAGTCGAGCAGGCTCAACACTTAAATACCCTGTACCACCCCACAAAAAATTTACTAAAAAAAAATTAATTAATTAAATTAAATATAAAATATTCCATACATAAATTTACATTTACATTACATCATATGTGTGCATTAAATAATTATGTCAAATCAGCAACAAATACAGCTGCGGACAGAGCTTAGGCTTGGTTATATGGCTATAACTTTCTTTGTAATCAACCTATTGTAATGAAACTTGATATACAGATATATAATCACTAATTGGATGTGACTACCAAATCTATCAAAGTATAAGAGCTAGAATAACCAAACTTGGTATCTAGATTCTCCTGAGCCCGAGAAAGGACGAGTTTGTTCATTTTTTCTGATCCCCCCCCCACACCCACCTTATTCACGATTTCCTATAACTCCCGTAATTCTTGGAATTTTGAACTAAAATTTGGTCACATTAAGTCTGCGATATATATATCCGTATACCAACTTTCATTATGATAGGTTGATCAGAAAAAAAGTTATAGCCATATAACCAGGCCCAATGCACACATACACACATATGTATGTACAAGTACACAAACACGCATACACACGATTCATGATGTAAATGTATGTATAGAATATTTTATATTTAATTTAATTAATTAATTTAATTAAATTAATTAATTAATTTAATTTCTTTTTTGTGGGGTGGTACAGGGTAATTAAGAGTTGAGCCTGCTCGATTTTAGCATTCCTTTCTTGTTTTCCAATAAAAAGTTTGTGTTATAAATTTTGTCCGATCGATTTCAAATTTTGGGCTACAAATTCAAAATTGCTAGATATACTACTTGGTATTCAACGATTTCAAAATATAGAAATAAGGCTTTCAACTCGCATATAAAACAAATAAAACAAATATTAAATAGTTGGGGACATCACGTAAACAGACTCACAAGCACACAGTCCCAAGGATTAAATATATATATATTTTTTTTTTTTTTTATTAATTAGATACATTTATTTATAAATTATGTT